TTCTGATTTTAAAAGTATGCATCGCTATATGTGTAGGTATGTAATGTAGCCTCTCAGTTATTTTATTTATTTGTTCCTGATGTCTTCTTAAAAAGGGTTTGAAGATACTCACAAATATCAATGAACAAGATAAAATTACATTAAAAATAGCCAGGTAAGGAAATTCGGGCAAAAGGAAAATAAGGCAGAGAACTGGGATGCCAGATGACTTCAATAAAAATTCTGAAAAAAAAATGTGCTGAACATGTCTAAATAAAGTACATAAATAACAGAGTTAATTATATTCTATGTTTCATTTTATGCTAATTCATGGTATTATTTTTCCTTTTGTTGCCCAACAAGTAGAAATATGCTTTAAGAAAATCCTCAAAGATAATGCAGTTTTCACTTTCACACTTAATCTCTTCTATTCATTGATCCATAGAGTAATCATGACACTAAAATGAACGTGTATGCTGGCATTTATCTGAGGAACTTAAAAAGAATATTTAACTAGGTTTTGACAGATTTGGGCCAACAGGTAAATCTTTATTGGAAAAAAAAAATCTTATTTTAAGAAATGGAAAGTCTAGGGAAAATGGTAATTATGTTCCCAAAGCATCAATATTTTCAAAAATAGAATATAGAGGAAGATTGTTTTCCATAGTTTTAACACAGAAAATTTAATACTCTATCAAAAAGAAGGTGCCTTCTTCTTGTGGTCCTCTGAAGACCTCAGAACACACTGCAATACAATTTCAAAAAGAAACCACTTCTACACACTCTTACTCACTGACAGTTTCAGAGATGACTATTGACTATTTAAACAAGAAATTAGTTTTTGTGCAATGGAAATTTAAATTTCCAAGTGGTTAACCTTTTTTTTCCAAGATATATTAGACACAAGAATTAGTAAATACTTTGTAAAGTCTGGCATTTTTAAAAATAAAGCTTTTCATTTTCTGGCTTGGTTTATTCATGTAGTAGTTACAGTGTCTATGCATTTACTTAAGTACTAAGCATGATAATAAAATGAACACCTGTGAATCCATTAGTCAGATTTCTAAGACCTCAGTATCATTGGAGTAGCTTACCTGAGCTTCCATTAACCTCTACTGCCTCCTTCACCAGACATAGCCATGGCCTGAAAATCCTTAAAGTATTCCACATATGCATAGATTTACAAATGTTTGTTGTTCCCCTTTATTTGTTTGTGAGTCTCAACTTGTTACATTTGTTAGCATAGGCCTGTATAACTTGATTTTTATTTATTTACTTTTTAAGCTAAATAATTATTTATAAAATTTATCTATTTTTCTCCAGTTATATTCAAAATAATTATTTTCACTACTATATACTATTTTATGTGAATATTTGATAATAAATTTACTCATTCTCTTGTCAATGGCTATCAGAGTTTTTTCCAGTGTTTTGAAATATCACAAAATGCAACTCTGAACACATGTCCATAGAAATGTACCTGGGAATGAAATTTCTGGATTGCAAGTCACTCAAGTGTTCAAATTTTAGAAGCAATGCCAAGTTGACACTCAAATCAATGGTATGCATTGCCACTCTTTTACATCCTAACACTAGCTATGGTTAGAGAGCTGATGAATTTATTCATTTAACAAATTGTGTTCTTGCTTTGTGTTCCCCTAACTACTACATAGGTAGTACTTTCCTCTCCCACTTCCTGCCATCTTATCTCTCTATTTACCATCTATCTCTCCCTCTCAGCCACTTTTGTTTTCTTTTGTGTAGAATACCTGTGTTTGCTTTAATCATTTACACTGCATTATCTTTTTATAATCAAATCATATTTTTATATTTATGGAGCTTAATGTTTTATCAATTGTATATATTATAAGTATCTTTGCTCAGATAGTTCCTTATCTTTTTATTTTCATTATGATAGCTTTTGAAGAACAGTAAATCTTAACTCTTACTTAATTATTAGTCTTTCATGTTGATGTTCTTTTTTGGGGGGAAGTTTACTTAAGAAATATTTTCATATATTAAGTTAGGATGATAGTGCCATATTTTCTTCTGAAAGTTTAAAAAATATGCCTTTTATGTCCCTTTTCTATTTGTCACTAATCCATTAAATTTTGTGTATGGCATGAAAGAGAAATCCAATTGTATTTTTTCCATGTGGATAAACCAATTATTTCTGCATCATTTATTTAGAAATCTACTCTTCTCCCATTGATGGGTAATTCCATCTCTGTCATATATCAAGTTTTCCTGTAGGCACTGGTCTGTTTGTGAGCTCTTATTTTGTTGCTTTGTTCAATATGTTTAGTTCTGCCTTGAAAACTTGTTTTTAAAAGTCCTATTGTGGAAAAGTCAAAATTATAGAGACAGAAGTCCGATCAGAAACCACAGAGATTCAGAGGGGGGAAGGGATTGGCTACAAATGGACACAAGATAGGGGGTAACAGAAGTATTCTGTATCCTGATTGTGATGATAATTATTTAGCTATATATATTTGTCCTAACTCAGAACAACTCAAAAGGCTGAATTTCACTGTTGAAAATTGACAACTGAAATACTTAGAAACATTACCAAACTAATAATTTAATATATTATTTTTCTCCATGAATGGTTTCACTCTTCTTGGGCTTTGACCCCTCTATATGAATTTCAAAATCTTATTTTAACAGGTTCCATAGAATCAATTTATTGGGATTTGATTTGACTTACATAGAATGTACAGATGGATTTTTGAAATGTGACATCTTATACAAGAATACAGGAAATTTCTCCATTTGGTTAAATCCTCTTAAGGTCCTTTAATAATTAAATATTTAAATTTATAAATTAAAATAATCTGTATTCATAAGAGCTGGATTATTGAGTTCTTCGTCTCATTTGGAGCCCACCCGTCTGTGCTCAGCCATGTGATACTGGGCTAAGTCTCTGCAAGCTGTATGTCTCCTTTGCCAGATGGCTTCATTCTAGCTTCTGCAATGAGACAGACTAGAGGAAGAATGGAAGGCAAGAGCAGGGAGAAGAGCATCAATCTCCACTCCTACTGTCCTTGTCACTATCACTCTAACAATGGATCTTAATTGTGGTAGAGCATTTGGTTCCAGGGAAATGAGTCCAGTTTCCAGCTTGGTTTTTCACTTTCAGAATCAACTAAATTGTACCTTTAAGTTTATAATTATCACCTGAGTAGTGCCCTTTTCTCTATTTATGGTCCCCTCTTCAAAGCTTCTGAGGCACCAACACCAACCAAACAATGCTCCCTCCAGCTGGTGTACAGAAATGCCATTGACTTAGGTCTATGAAGTCTTACATCCAGGTACCTTGCCACACAGTTGGCCCTCTCTATCCATGGAGTCCACATCCATGCATTCAACCAAATAAGAATTGAAAATATTAGGGGAAAATTACATATAAACAGACTTTTTTTCTTTTCATTATTCCCTAAACAATATAAGAATTATTTTCACAGTGTTTGCATTGTATTAGATATCATAAGTAATGTAGAGACAATGTAAAATATAAGGGAGATGTTATGCAGGTCATATGCCAATGCTCTGCCATTTTATAGAAGGGACTTGAGGATCTTTGGATTTTGTTATTGAGGTCCTGGACCCAATCCTCTGCAGATATGGAGAGATAACTATATGTCCATGTTATAATTTGTGTGTAGACTCTTTTGGATCTTCTATGTAAATTACCATATCACATGCAAATAATGGCAATTTTATTTCTTCTTTTCTATTCATTATGCTTTTATTTTTGTTGTTGTTGTTTATAGTGCTGGGGATCAAACTCAGGGATAGGACCCAGGGCTTTGCAAATTCTTACTACTAGGCCAACCCCTGAACTAACACGCGCACGCACACACATACACACACACACACACACACACACACACACACACACTGTCTCTCTCTCCTTTCTTACCTGCTGGATAAAACCACCAAACTAATGAGGAATAGAAGTGGCCATAATACATTGCTTTATTCCTTTTTTTTTTTAAGAGAGAGGGAGAATTTTTAATATTTATTTTTTAGTTTTCGGCAGACACAACATCTTTGATTGTATGTGGTGCTGAGGATCGAACCTGCTTGAGCCACATCCCCAGCCCTTATTCCTGGGTTTTAAAGAAAGATTTCTACTATTTCACCATTACTAGTGATAGCTCTTGAAAGATTTTTATGGAAATCACTTAACATTCTATGAAAATAAATTTATATACACATTTGACTCTTTTTATCAAAACAAGTCTGGATTTATAAAATGTTTTTTAAAAATATATTGAGATGATCACATTCTCTTATTAAAAGTTTCTTCTTGAAATAAATTACATGTCTAGGTTGTTTTTAATGTTAATACATCTTTGCATATTTGGGCTTGTTTATCTCACTTAACTATGTTGTATTATCTATTTTTGCACATTATTAGATTGTGATTACTATTGTTGTTTAAAAAATTTACATTTATGTTTATGTATGATATCAGATTATGCACTTTGCTTGCTTCAAATGCCATTTTTTTATATTAGTATCAAAATGAGTTCAGAAAAATTCCCTCTTTTTGATTTATTGGGAAAGTTTTTTAATGCTTATAGAAATATTCAAACCTTCTAGTTCACCTAGAATTAGTTTTTTAGTAAGTAAAAACTTCTTGTTTCAGCTTCCTTCATATGAGTTTTAATTTGCTTTTGTTTTATTTTGTTTTGGAAACTATTGGCCAGATTTTTCCTTGTCCTAACCAGCATGTTGGATGCTTATTTTCAGAAAACTTCTATTTTTAGAATAGTAGTAGTACTACTACCACCAACAACACTACTACTACTATTACTACTACTACTACTACTACTAATAATAATAATAATAATAATAATAATAATAATAATAATAAATGGGCTCTTATGTCATGAGCACTGTTCAAAGCACTTTAGATTAACTAAATTATTTAATATAAAAACATGGGAAGTAGATATTATTATTTTTAGTTTTGAGATGAGCATACAGAAGAAGAGAAAGATAAAATAACTTACTCACAAGGCACCCTGTGAAAGAGTGGTATAGGTAAGATTTGAGCCCAGATAGACTTCTTTTGGAGCTTCTATACTTGATGATGTCCCTTGATTATTGTTACCTGATATCTCTGGTACCTGCAGTCAAAATGCACAAGAAAAGCTAAGAAATTCCTTTGATGATAGACATAGGAACAAGATCTAAATGTTCATAAATTATGTTCTTGGGCAAACATGTATATGTTTGCAGTTAGAAATGAATTTTCACTCTTTACAGGAGTCTGTATTAGAATAAAAGAAGATGGTTGGGATTACTTTTCTGCATGATAAATGCATCTATAAATGGCCCATCTGTAGATGAGCTCAAGGTGAATGGGGGTTTCAGATGACTGACTGTATCCAAGAATGGAAGAAAGAAATGAAACCCTGCTTAGGACTCATAGTATTGAATTCTCTCTGCAGAATGGACTAAGTATGCTGTTTACTAAGTCCCAAGAGAACCACAAGTACCAGTGAAATGCTGGCCATTCCAACAAAGCTAATAACCTTCCAGGATTCTTTAGGGCAAAACAGTCTGCGTGGGGAGCTTAAAGGTCAACATGGATATGGCCATTGCATTTCTTTCCCACAAAACCCTACAAAATAGGCAAATTAACCATGAGTCAGGCATATGACTTAATGAGGAGCCGGAAGTCCACTTTACTGGAGTGACTGGATGCTCTGAAAATTTTATTTCAGCTTTAACAGGGGCAGTGGGTGAAGAAAGAAGGATGAGTGTTGGGGGTATAATACAACACCCAACTATCAAGGTTCTGATTTGTAGGAATTAAGGGACCATCAATATATAGACCTTCTTAAGAGACAGCGACTCCTTTCCAGTCTCACTGTTTTCCTCACTTTAGAAATGGACAGATAGGATAGTGGGTCTGGCATCAACAGGCTCCTATTCACATGATAGGAGTGCATGCGTGCCGCACGGGCATGTTGCATTCTTTTCTTTCAATCATGAAAGAATGGCTGAGGATGCTCCATTTAGATTCATTTTTTTTCCTTCTATTAAAAACCTGAGTCTTTGGGTTGGGGTTCTGGTATAAAAATATTATCACAAAGACAAAAGAGGAAGCAGGGGAATGTGGTGTTGCAGAAGCCAAGGGAATACAGAATTTTATATCTTCTAAGAAGCTGTCCAAAATTCCAATGTAGCCAAGTTCCTGCTGAATGTGACCTGAATATTGGGTGCTGGATTTGTTGGTGAGACATGATTGGTAACTTCTGATATAGGAATACTGAAGACAAAGCCAAATGGGTAATAGATTGAACACTGAAATAAATGGATCCACTGAGTGTCGATTTCATTGAGTCCAAAACTGAGAGTAAGATTGACAAGAAGGAAGGGAATTCAACACATGGACAAAGGCATGGAGGCACGAGAGGGGCTTTTTCATCTTTTTGTTTTTTAAAGTAGAAGTTTTATATCATTTGCTGAAATGCATTTAATATTCTCCCTCTCTCAGGAACCATTGCTTTAAAAAAAGATGTCATTTATGTATTTATTTTTAAGGTTAAATACTTTTAGTGATATCAACAAATATAATTTATTTTCCTGGCTTTTCCCCAGAATTTTAAATTGGTACATTATAATTGTACATATTGTTGGAATTCACTGTTACATATTCATACATGCATACAATGTAACAATGTACTTTGGCCAATAACATTCCCCAGTGTTTCCCGGTTCCTCCATTCCTCCATTCCCCTGGTCTGTTTGTTTTTAAACCTTGTCTGTAAGTGTGGAATGAAGGGTAATAGGACAGGGGAAAAAAATCTAGAGCCCTTGAAATTATCCTTTGTTGCTGGTCACTTATTTGCTTAACCCTGACTCAGAGGCTTTATTACAAATTAGTATAGCAGGGCAGAGAGAAAACAATATTTCAATAGAGGAATGATTGAATAATTAGCCTATTCTCCCTACTTCCTTGTCTTTCAAGGGTGTTGGGGTCAGGCTTTACTTGTGAGCTATGGATTAGCTTTGTCCAATCAGCAATTCAGAGGGTAGAGATGAAATCAGATGAAATGTTAACTCCCTCCCCTGGTCACCTAGTCTTAGTCCTTCTGAAGGTAACACAGACAAGAAGAGATTATCAAAGTGTTTAACAGTCTCCCAAAATTGCTGTCAATGGCAATTTGTTAATGCCACCTCTCCAGGAGAGGAGACCAGACTTCCTCCATGCAATAGCAGCCAACAAGAGAAGCCTGTGAACATGGTCGAGGGATACCCAGCAGTAATGGCTGCCTTATCCAAGCCTGGCTACATTGCTTTATTTAAAACTCCTCAAAACCTCCCCAAACTGTCCCCACACTAGTTAGGGTCTCCTCATTTTCATGAGTCTTTTCTAATGAGGCCAGAATTGTGAGGAAGACTTACATTGTGGAGACTTGCTTTATAGAAAGGAAGGAAGGAAGGAAGGAAGGAAGGAAGGAAGGAAGGAAGGAAGGAAGGAAGGAAGGAAGGAAGGAAGGAGGTACTTGGATGCATTCTGGCCACATCCTTAATTATTTGCATTCTAATTGAGACTTATTTTTTCCCATTTCTGTCAGTCACTCATAAAAGTTTTTCTATTTGTCCTCCTGACAAGAATACTTAAAACTCTCCCAAGTATGTACATGTGAGACTTTTCTATTGTTTATAAAGCTTCTTACTAAATACAAGTGCAGCTTTTATAAGGACACATTTTAGTACGAATTATTATTGTGATTTGTATCTTTACCCAATAGATCTTCTTTTAAAAGATGCCCCACACCTCCTCATTTTCTTAAAATCTTTTCTCATTTTAGATCTTGTACCTCCTCAAAATGCTTTTGAAAAATATCTGGCAGGAAAGTAGTAATGTTTAAGCCATATGAAACCTCTGGGTCAGATTTTATTCCCTGTGATACCAAAGTAGGGAGCTAAGGTGGTTAGACAATTAGTGATGTAATTCTCTAGAGACTATGGGTTTCCTTTGTCTCAAGACTCAGCATCCTAATTAACTTGCTGCAAACACCTTCTTCCCTCAAACTGGGCTGGACTCATTAGCCGAAGATGACTTTCAGCTGCTTGCAGGGTTGGCCAAAGGTGCCTGGGCCCTGCTTTCTGCAAATCTTGACATCATCTCTCGGCTTCCAGAACAACATTCTGTTTTATCACATTTTTTTGACATCTTTCTTAAAGAGCTTCACTTCAGGGAAAAAAACAAAACAAAACAAAACAAAATGTGCCGTTCTCTTTTATCTTCTTAGCCTCATGAAGGGTTGGGATGAAAGCCTGAAAGCTTTGTATCTGAAAGAGTTAAAACAATTTACACAGAAGACTCTCAAATCTTACTGCTTTGCTCTGCCAAATGGGGAAAAAAAGAAAGGGGTTTAAAAAATAAAAAAACAAAACAATGATAAGAAGGAAGGAAAGGGTGGGGGGCATATGAACGAATCACTGTAAATTAATCAGTTGTTGGACAATAATCCTCTTAAATCTATCCCTAAAGGTGGAAAGAGTCTCTTATCAGGGTTTTCAGGGAAATCTATAGCAAACTCTGGCATCTCTCATACTAGTACACATTTAGTCCTATTTATTGGGATATCAGGATCATCCTATGGAAATGATCCACTAGTACAATTATAGGAGTGCTTGGTGATTTTAGCCCTTTACTCATTAATATTAATTAGTGCTTGGAGGGGAAAGAAGACAGGGAACAGCTTCTCATATCCCAGCTAATTAACTTTGTCTAGCTTGTATGAGAATGAGAAAGCACTTTATTAAAAGCCATAAGGTAAGCACTCAAGGGACTTTTATTTTCTGCTTAGGCTAAACTACAATAAGATTGGCTCTTGGTGAGTATTCTAGAATCGCCAGAAAGGATAAAACGATTGTTACCAAGAGGGTGAAGGCTGCAGCATGGTTTTTGCCATGAATTCATGGCAACATAGATGTGATGTTTTGATACCGTTCTGGAAAATGAAGGCTTGGTTGCAGACTACATATTTAGGACATGATAGTACTACAAATGACAGAAGGATACGGTTACAAACGTACTTGCTACTTCTTTTTTAGTAATATACACCTTCTGTCTTCACTGAAGTGGTGAGAGGTGGTTAGATCTAATGCCTCAGATGTATTTGGCTTCCAGTTAGTATTAGAAATTACCATAAGCTTTTCTGCCAAATATTCCATTAGACACATTGCTTAGCCTCTGTGAACAAAACACTACAAGATCAGAAATATGTAAAATTTAGTAGCAATTAAAAGTTCTACATTTTACACATTTTTTTACTATAATATTCATCGATTCATTTGTTCTTGTGACAAATTTGGTCGCATACCTACTGTGTTAAAGGAATTGCACTGAGCTCTAAAACTTCAGACACAAAATGTAAGGAAATAAAGCTCATGTTTAAAGCTCTATGTTAGTCCACCATGTCCTTTGAGAAGCAGACATTAGGATATGACTAAACATGTGAGGTTTTTATTGAATGATAAAATAGGGAGAAAATGGAGAGGGAGCTGGGGACAGCTGGGACAAGTTGGGAGAGCTGTCAGAAAGCACAGGAGCTCTGGCCTGAGTGGAGGGGAGAGGGGAGAAAAACTGGTTGGGGAAACATCTCAGATCCTCATTCAGCCAGACTCCAGGGGGTCCTTGAAGCACTGTTTGCTGTCAGAACAGTCCCATGTCTCCCTAAAACAGGTCTAACCCAGCATCCCTGCGGCACTCAGTTGCTGGCTGGAAACAGCCAAGGGAAACAGTTGCTTTGACTCACACATGGCAGTGAATTTCAGAACACGTCAACTGGACCCTTGCTCAGTCATATTGGGAGATGCATTTCATCGCCACCTACCACTGTGTTCACTTCTTGATTGAAACATTACAGACTTGAGTTCATCTTCCTGGTTGATAGTAAAAATGGAATCTTTTTTATGCCCAAATCATAAGTAAAATGTTGGTTTTCTATTTGTAGAATTAGATTTTAGAAAACTTACTGTGCAATCCTTGAGATACCTAATTCTTCAGTTCAAAATTTAAGTATATATTTGTAGTTTATACATTCGGTATTAGATTCCAACCTAAAGGCGATGAAATGTGTTTGCAAAACAATAGCAAACTTTA